AGCATGAGATTTTATTTAAAATTCAATATTCGCAACAGATTTCGCTACCAGCATCTTGAGGCGCCCTGGAATCGCGCCAATGTATTTCACCAGGAAGTCTTGTAGTATGGAAGACAAGTTCTTGTCTTTGCCCCTCAAGGTCTTTTAAAGTTTTGGTTTGTTATATTAGACTTGTTCTTCTAACCAAACCCAAAGAAAAAAAGTCACAGATTGTTAAGTCAGGACTCCTGGCTGGCCACTCATACATACAATAGGGAGTTACTTTTCAATCACCCTTTATATGAAGATTGATAAATGAAGACAGAATAGTAAAATCAGTAACGAAACGGAGAAAATTTGAGGGGAAAAAGGCTACAGGAGGTATGATTGGGCAGGAGCGGGAATCTACGAGGAATTGTGCAAGTGAGGCACATTTGAGCGACTGCATATGAACAAAATAGAAGCTATTCGAAAGAATAGAAAAAAGTCAAATTTTAGAAAAAGGAACTGCCATTCTAACAAATCCCCTGACACAGGACGAGAGACCCGCTTTTCATTGTTAAAAATTAAATTTTAAAAAATTGTATCGTTGATTTGAAAAGGAAATCCGAAAACAGATTGAAAAAATTCAACCTTTTTCTTCGATGTGCAATGATGGCTCTCCATAACTTCCCATGTAACTCTTAGTAACGAGGAACATAGACTAGGCTATGTTAGGGGTAGTTTCCCACAACACGGCCAATTGCTGCAAAAAACTAAAAACTCAAGTCATATTCAGAAAAAAAAACCTTCTCCGCTCGATGTTTTTATATGAAATTCATGCATCACATTGAACTCATTCAGAAATATTTAAACTACCTATATACAACCGATTTCTAAGAGTAATGGTTAAAATAGCTTCGAGCAAATGAAGCCTATTAGCGAGGATCATTCTTCTTCGAAAGTTATGGATTGGCGCTAGATAATCCTAAACAAAGTTCGGAAGCAAATAACAAAAACCACGCCACTTGAGGACTTTCAAAGGCAACAACAACTGAAATGATTAGCACATGTAACTCAACGAGAAAATAATAGCATATTTAAGATGTTGATCTTCCACACTACATGAAACAAAAGGTTAGGAAGGAAACACCCATAATTACTGGAAAGAACAATAACAGTTGATGGATTTGAGAAATCTATTTTCTGGAGATGTTGTTTTAATAGAAAGGTTTTATAAAATTTCATCCGAAAGTAACACTGGCATCACGGTTAATGAATACCGAATTGTGACGTCACCCCGCGGCCTCTCTCTGTCCCTGTGCTATCCTGTGACGACCAATGTGACTTGGTATTGGTTGCGGCGCCAAATGTGACGTTCTAACCCTTGGCTGATTCGGATGGGAATCTGGTTAGATTCGGTATCAGCTTTGTCGTTCCCAGCTCGCCTCCAACGTCTGGTTACCGAAGTAACTGCTTTGATTTCTAGTCTAACCTACCCACGTTGTGATTTGATCTTAGGTAGACGAAATCAATCAGTCGCCGGGCCGCAATGCAAGCCGAATTCGAGCAAAGGTGACATCGCACAAGTATATGTAAAAGAAAATAAATTAACAACTCGAAAAGTTCAAATGTGTTAAAAAAGAATAACAAATATTTTTATATCTGGTTGCTGAATACAGAACTGCGTCTTTCTCCTAACCCGCTAATATGGATACGTGACACTTTGCGTTTGTTAGGCGAGTCTTAATATCTTAAGTTGTTTTTCGATAACTGTTTTTTTGTATCTTCAGGCGATATTCGTAAAACTTGTTTTGGTGGGGTCAGTCTAAGTCGTTCTTCAAAAATAAATTGTTTTTGGTTAGAAGTCGAAGTCGGAATGCGTGGATCTTCAGTCAGCTTCCTGCGAGACTGGTCACAGAGCTCACAGCTCAACTCTGTCTGCGTCTGCGTCTCCTCGGAACTCTGCCGAACTCTCTAACTCCAACTGCCGTCTACTCGCTACGACTCTGGTTATATGGACGCCGACCAAAACCGGGTGTGGCCTGTCGTGGTTTTGGGTTCCTCGATAATTCTAACTCCACAAGAAGGATTTTCTTTGTTTTCGGACAGGAAAATTTATCACTTTCCATTTTTGGAAGTCCATTACTTTCTGCTTTAGAGGGTTCTTAACCGTCCTCCCAAATTCTTCCTTTCTCATATTGGTATCTCACACCAATCCCCTCAGAGGGCGTCAACAGGTTTCCCTTCTTTCTCATAGTGGTATCTCACACCAATTCCCTCAGAGGCGTCAACAGGCATCCCCTCCTTCTCATATGTTTACCTTCGCCCACCATTCACGCCACCACTCAGCCAGTGACGCTCGGAAGAGCGGGTGTTTACAATTATCGCTCAAAGGAAAAAAATATCTTCCCCGCTTTTTTTTTTCTTTTCTTTCTTTTCCTCCGCCAGACCCCTACGACTCGTAGTGTGGTCCTTAATCTCTATCTTAACCGAATGTCATCTGGAATTTATCAACGAGATTTTCGTTAAGCGTCAAATGGGTGGTCAATTGGACGTCTTCGCACCTTGTTGCCAATTATCTATCCCGGTAAAAAACTTTTATCATGTCCAGGTCTGAACATAAAACAGGTGTCTTTTCAAAACTAAATGATATTTCCGAAAGATAGTTAATGGTTTATTCTTTCCCTTTCTCTCTGGGGTGGCCTCAGCTGATGCCTTTCTCGATCAGTGCGTGACCTGATTACGATTATCTTCCAGCTTCTGTTTCGTAGGCCACTTGACCAATTTGAAATTTTCATTATTGCTATGGGCAGATTGCTATCATTTATTCGCCGCGTCGTAGCATAAATTAATTCCGACAAATCCGAGATCTTAAGAATTTCCTACCTTCTGCGAAAAAATAAATACTTTTCTTCGCAAATGAAAATAAAATCTTTACCACTTTTCTTTGTTAAAAAAAAATAACATCGCTCAGTATGTCCTTCGTGATAGCTTCTCGCCTTAATTATTTCTCGCTTTTAATTTTCACGCAACCGCTAAATAGTGTCACAGAATGTTTTCTTACAAAGAAAGGCTATTATTACCATTATTATTAGAGGTGAGGAGGACAGATACAGCCCTTTCATTCCAGACAGATGGCCAAAGAAGGGAGAAGAACGTAACTCGAGTAACAATGGCTGCTCTGTCAAAAATGTCGAATGCTTCTTTATAGGTAAACGGTTAAAAAAGAGTGTCTCACTATTTATATTATTCGGACTATTGTCCTCATCTTTGTTGCCATATTTATCACAACGTTTCGACCTTGTACGCTCCGGCCTTCTTTAGGTGGTTGGTATATCGAACTGAACCTTTTATTTCGCTCGCTGGGGTAGACTGCTTTAGTTCCACGTGATATATCTAATGGATGTCAGTTATCAGTTATCTCCTGTTACTTCAGGCCTCCAAGTCCTTAAGGACACGTGACACAGTTGATAAAGGTGTTGGTTAGATCCAGTAACAGGACCCAAAGTGTGTGAGTTCAATACCTGGTTAATCCAGAGGAGAACGTGGAGAGGGGAATTAACAGGAGATAACTGATAACTGATATCCATTAGACATGGCACGTGGGACTAGAACAGTCTACCCAATTTTGGCCTGGAATTGTTCCTGCATATTTAGTATGTATGTATGTATACGAGGTCTCTTTGAAAAGTAACGGGACTGCTGTCACAAACAATTTATTCCAATTCCAAGCAACAAACTACACAGTTTCCCCTTAATCTTTCTCACGAGTTCAATGCACCTTTCCATCCTTCTCTGCCACGCTTTTTGTACTGATGAAAGCCCTCTTCTTGGATGCGACTCATCTCCGTCGTAAAAGCCATCTTGATAGCCTCCACGACTTCAAAACATCCCCCGTTGATTATATCCTTGAACTTGGGGAAAAGAAAAAAAATCACGCTGAGGAATATCAAGTGAAGTGGGAGTTATTTCAATATGGCGATATTCTTTTCTGACACTAACTAGCGCATGCTCAGCGCGTTGTGAGCAGGTGCATTGTAGTGGGGAAGCAGCCACAATTTGTCATACCACTTTTGTGGCATGTGAAAAGAATGCAATGATCGCAGAAAGCTAAGATTACAGTTCTATACTCCCAAGATATCATGTTAGATGATAAAACTATCTTCTTATCCCACTTTCGCCTATAGATCATACAGCTCACCCAGTCTCGTTACTTTTCAGACAGACCGTTGTAATTATTACGTTGGAAAACTCGCGAGGAAAGAAGTTAAAAAGGCCAACATTTGACCATTCGGTACTCCAAAGTCAGCGGGACAATGATTACCCAGTATGCTACTGTCAGCACATCAGCTGGTATGTATGTAAATACATCGACCCATCTCCGTTTAGACTTGACCGAAACTTGCCTCCTGAGAGTTACGTTCTGACAGTTTAATAAATTCGTTTCGGACAGATGAATGCAACCATACCCCTGCTAGTAACAAAGTAGAATAGTCTTTGACTAACCTATTGGTATATATCAGTAAATCCAACTCGTCTCGGTTGTTGTTGACAGATGTTGCATTTGAGACAAACATTCTTGGAGGTGGTAGCTTGTGTGGTTGTTTTCTTAGCCAGGCAAGAACACCAGACAGGCAGACAGGCAGGCAAGCATGCTTCTGTATTTTTTGTTTGTATCTTCTCTGCCTTCGATGCTCGTCGAAGCCTTGAAGAGGGAAAAAGAATGTTAATAAAGAAAGTTGAAGGGCAAGAGCGAGGTAGGCAAAAAGTGAGATTTTTAGAAAGAGAAAAGTAAAGGAAAGAGAGAAGTATGGCAAGAGAGAAATGGGGAGATACAGACGTTGGGAAACAAAGAGTATTTTGGAAAGAGAGAACGTTTGGAAAGTAAGAGAAAAGGCACGGAAGAGAAGTAGGTAAAAAGAGAAGTCAACAAAAGAGAATAGAGAGAATGTAAGGAAAGAGAGAGAGAGAGAAAGGGGGGAGAGAAAACATTTGGAAAGACAGACGTTTGGGAATTTAGGGGTAAGGAAATGAGAAATTTAGAGAGAAAGGAAGAAGGAAAGTAAGACAAGTAAAGAAAAGGAGAAATAAGGTGAGGAAAGACAGAATATTAGGATAGAAAGAATTGCAGACAAATAAAAAGGGTGAGGGAAAGAGTTAAATAGAGAAAAGGAGATCGCTGGGAAAGAAAGAAGTCGTAATTTAGAATTAGAGAAATGAAGAGTCCCGAAGACTGACAGGTGAGGATAATGGAAAAGGCGGAGAAAGAGAGAAGTAGAGAAGAAAAGAAATATCAGAGGCGAAAGATGTAAAAGAATTCGAAAGGCAGATGTGTAAGGGAAATGGAAAACGCTGAGAAAGGGAGACGTAGTAAGAGAGAGAGAGAGAGAGAGAAAGAGAGAGAGAAAGAGAGAGAGAGAAAGAGAGAGAGAGAGAATTTGGAAAACAGAAAGGTAAAGAAAATGGAAAATGTAGGGAAAGAGTGATGAAGAGAATAGAGAATATCGGAAGATAAGAGAGCTAAAGAAATGAAAAATCGTAGGCAAAAAGCAACGAAGGGAAGTGAGAATTCAGAATCTAGAGAGGTAAAGAAACTGGAAACGTATGTAAAGATTGAAGAAGGGGAGAGAGAATTCAGAAGATAGAGAGGTAAAGAAAATGGAAACGTATGGAAAGATTGAAGAAGGGAAGAGAGAATTCGGAAGACAGGGAGGTAAAGAAAAAGGAAACGAAGGAAAAGATTGAAGAAAGGAAGAGAGAATTCGAAATTTACCTCTCTATCTTCTGAATTCTCTCTTCCCTACGTTTCCATTTTCTTTACCTCTCTATGTTCCGAATTCTCTCTTCCCTTCTTCAATCTTTCCCTACGTTTCCATTTTATTTACTGTTGTGGTAGGATCAACCTAATGTGCATAGTGGAGTACCGACCATATAAATATGGTTGGTACCGGGAAGAGAGGGAGGAATCAAGAGATTCAACCAGAAACTCTGCCCGACTGCGACGCAGTCAACACATTCTCCAGGAACGGTCTTACCAGGAATATACCAAAGACTATACGTAAATATTGTGTACACTTTCTTGTTTCAATACATTTTGTTCTAAGTACATTTTGTGTTGCATTATTATTCCATGCATTAGTCAAGTATCAACACTTACCTCTCTAAATTTCGAATTCTCTCTTTCCTTCTTCAATCTTTCCCTACGTTTCCATTTTCTTTAACTCTCTAAATTTCGAATTCTCTCTTCCCTTCTTCAATCTTTCCCTAAGTTTCCATTTTATTTACCTCTCTATCTTCTGATAGAAAACAAAATGGAAACGTAGGGAAAGATTGAAGAAGGGAAGAGAGAATTCGGAAGATAGATAAAGAAAATGGAAAACATGGGGAAAAGTGAAGAATGGAAGAGAGAATTCGGAATACAGCGTGCTAAAAAAAAAGGGAAAACGTAGGCAAAAAGCAACGAAGGGAAGCGAAATTTCGTAAGAAAGAGTGGTAAAGAAAATGGAAAACGTAGGGAATGATTGAAGAAGGAAAGAGAAAATTCGCAAGAGAGAGAGGTAAAAAAAAGAAACGTGAGGAAATAGAGAAATTGGGAAGTTAATTTTAGAAAAGATAGGTGAATAGAATGAGAGAAGTGGAAGAGGAGGAAATTGAAGTGAATATGTGCAACCTATCTTTTGAGTAGTTGGGTAGAGGAGAAATAAAACAAATTAAATCCTGCAAAATATGACGCAGAAATGATACAGCCTTCTCCCTTAACTACTTGTAATTAAAATGACTTTCGCCCGAAACATTTTGATGTAAATTACCTGATGGAGGAGGAACACTTTTATTCTCGTCAAATTGAGATGCAAATTTAAATATATTTGTATGAAGTCAGACTCGAACGTAATTTCACTATGACGTTTGAGCGTTAAGGCATGGCATGCACACCCATGTGAAGCCGATTGCGCATACGTCATTTTATAACAATAGCGTCGCTCGCAATTACGTGATTACGCATGCGCATGTATGCAATTGAATGAGTATAATTCTTTGTCTTTTTTTTTTAAAGCTTAGATAGAAATTTGACGCGCGAGACAGCAAGTGGTACTTATTTTAGGGGAACCTGTCAAACAATTGGGACAAGTCTTTCTATTCCACTTGAATGAAATAAATTAACTAATTCGGTCGAGTATACCCGACTTAACGTAATCGTAAAGTAATGAAAAGTACTGGCAAACTACGAGAAGCAACGAAGAGACAAAAAATATAAAGACATTGTAGCGGTATATTTTCACACACGATATATCATTGGGAATAAAAAAATCTAAGCATTTGTATCTTGTTATCTGCATTTATTTCGATGAATTAAAACACTACCAGCTGTCTTTCGCTATCTATCTATCTATATATATATATATATATATATATCACACTCCAGTTTTGCCTTCTATCATCATGGGTGAATCTAACCTCGAGGAGAGTGACTAGCTTTGTCTTTTCGCGGTAACATTCTCAGCTGACATGAAGTGGTAAGAGTATATGGAATCCAAGTTAGCAGCTAAGAAATTTGGTTCACTCTGTCGTGCTAGACATGTTTTCTCTCTAGAATCTATATTACATATCTATAAGTCTATCATTCTTCCATGCTTAGAAAATTGCTGCCACATACATGTGTTCCTGGTATTTATTTAAAGGCTCTTGACAAAATTCAAATAAGAATCAACGATATTATAGGTCCTGATCTAGCATCTTGGCTAGTCACTTTCCACTGTCGTAATGCAGCTTCCATATGCCTTTTCTGTTAATACTTTCATGGCAATTGTTTGGATGAACTCTCCGCTGTGGTACATAAACTTTATGAATTTAAACGCAGTACTAGATTGGCAGTTCGGTCTCATTTACTTATAGTCGAATTGGCTAGAGGTAGCCATAAGTTTTATGCTAACAGTTTATTTACCCGGACTTTTCGCTTGTGGAACTCTTCCAGCTTCATGCTTTCTAGCCAACTTTGATCTTCAAAAATTTAAATGCAGTGTCAATCGTTATCTACTGCTTTCCTGATTACTCTTTAATTTTTCAGGTTCATTAATAAGTGAAGAGTCCATTCCAACAATTACCATGAAATTACCATGAAAGTATTTATAGAAATGGCACAGGGAAGCATGTTTACGCCGGTGAGAAAGTGACTGAAGCAGAGATGCCAGGTCAAGACCAATAATATTGCTGATTCTCCTTTGGGGGGGGGGCAGATATGTAAACGTGTTTATTTGAATATCCTTGATTTATAAACTGTGAAACTAATGTCCATCAGCCTAGTCTTTGAAACGTTCAATGCAGAGATTGGCATTTCTTTAATAGGATAATTAAAACTTACTGGTATGGCTTTTTCTTGTCTAAATCGAAGCACCCTTCCATAACTGTATTGTGTATATGTCTAAGATGATGTTCTTTTTAAACCAGCTATATATATGCCGTGAGTATGTAGGTTTTACCGCTGTCGTGATCACGGCCAAAACTGAACTTGTGTACCAAGCACTTAGCAATAACGGAGAAGCTCGAGCTGTTCTTGAAGGCGTTCCATAGGGTTTGGAATGCCGGCCTTCTTCGTAAGCTTCAGGGATACTGTATTACAGGACGATTATTTGACTTAATACAATCATTCATGTCAAAACGTAGAATGAAGGTCATCCTAAACGGGTTCTCTATTTCCTTTCATACGAACGCTGGTGTTCCCCAAGAATCTATCCTGGGTCCTACACTTGTTTCTGATCTTCATCAACGATTTTCCTGGTGTCATCAGTTCCCAAGTAAGCATCGACGCAGACGACACTACTATTTACTTCTTCCTCAATAGTAAGTCCGGCGTTATTGATAAAACAAAGGACCCCTAATCTGTAGTTGACTCGGACAGGAAGTGGCTTTTAAACTTTAATGCCTCCAAAATGAAACTACTCACATTTACCCATCATAGAGAACACCCTCTGCCTACTATCGGAATGTTTGATACCTAACTCCACTTCATCTAACGCAAGGAAAGTTGGTTCCCTGTGTCGCGCCAGAAGATTTTTCTCGGCTGAGACCATCCTTCAAATCTAAACATCAACTATTCGTCCATGCATTGAATACTGCTGCTATATATCGTCTGGTGCCCCTGCTGTTTATTTCGAGGTCCTTGACAAAATCCAGAGACGGATATGCAAAGTGATATGTCCTGATCTGACATCTCGTCTACAGTCACTTTCTCAGAGACTTGATGTGGTTTATCTCTGTCTTTTCTACAAATATTTTCATGGCAACCAACCCAATACAAGACTAACAGCCACTCGGGATCAATGGCTACTCAATGGGGTGTGTGATATGATTGTAAATGGGAGGTAGAAGAAAGTGAACGTTATGAGGATAAGGAGGATAGATAGTGATTGGCCATTGACTTGAAGAGGATAAGTTTGAACCGTTCAAGGAAGTAGCGGTTCTCAGGAAAGGGGCCTCGAAATGAAAAATCCGCCTTGAAAATGTACTACGGAGGAAATGTAGCTGATTTGACGCCTTGGAGATAGTATATTGAATTCTAGTGAAAGTTTAAACTGGTTAAACACATCTGAACATTTTACCATGGAAGGAGCGATAGGCTTGCGACGTTGTATCTTTGAGAAAGAGGGTATAGACCGGGAAAATATGTTTTTGCCACCAAGACTGCGTGAACTATTTTGAACTCTATCAAGGCTGGGGAGTGAGTATTGGGCAGCTCCAACCCAGGCATGGCAGCAATATTTTCTCTTTGGAATTATGCTAATATTAGTCGTTTCTTTGTCAGGAAACATTGGACATTCATTGACCGAGTAGCTTGTATTACTCTTTGTTGAAATTTATAAAATCTTTTTCTTAAAACAACTTTTCAGAAAAATAGTTTTCTCAAGTCCAGTAGATGTTATCGCTCTTTCCAACATCGATACATGGTTTGTTGATTCGTTTTCTACGGTTTATCAAACGTTTCCACGTTATTTAAAGTCAGAAAATATTTTTAGATTGCAATACATTTTTTGGAGATAATAATGGTCTTACTAATTAACCCATAGCTGGGGATGAAGAAGTGAATTCATAAATTTCCCGAATGTATTTGCGCGTAAGTGGATATAAAGCCTAAACTGAAACTGGAACTCGGCTACCCGATTAACAATAAACCACTGCACATTTAAGCTTAGCGCAAATGCTATTCTCAAACGGTTACCCATCTAGGTACTAACCAGGCTCGAAATTGCTTAACTTTAGTGAACTTACGTGAACCGGTGTTTTAACGTGATGCCGCCGTAAGAGTGGAAATTTTTGCCTAACCATTTTTTTTTAATTAATGTGGAATGTCAACATGTTGATTATGGTGTTATTTTCTTTTCAAGTTACATGTGATATCCATTTTAGCAATTTGTAGTGTTGGAAATCTCCAAGTAATGTGGTTTTTGGTATTTGGTACACTTCTTTGTGATTCTGTAGTGCCAAACCACAAGTTTCGATTCACAGGTTCCATTCACACAAAGTCGCTTTTAACCATTGATCTTAGAAAGCGGACGTATAAAATAGAAAGTTTAGATATTTTTGAACGGGTTGGACGCCATGCATGTCGCCTATGTGAAAGTCACGAACCGATGATGTTATTTAAGTACATGACTAGAGTTTTCAGTTTATGTTTTGGGTTTTCGCGATGATGGTCGAAACTACTTCTAGCGGAGTCTATTCTACATACAATTTCATTATCACTGATACTAAATTTCTTATAACTGACCAATAAACCCAGGTATTAAAACTGTTTTGTATTTACTAATTCCACATCTTGAATTTTAATCTCTTCTGTGTAAGACGTTAAACCACATCCACGTCCTGGGTAAGACGTTAAACTACGTCCATCAGTAAGGCCTCTGATCAGGTTTTGACGAGTATAGAACCACCTCTGAATTGCTGGTGTTCCCAGGTCCACCCTTACACGGGGTGGTAGCACCTGTTAGGGTCCCAGCTATGGGCAAATAGTTAACTATTACCAGCAATACTTTTTTGAAAGAGATTATTGCCAGCAATACAATTTTGAAGGAAATATATGACCAGAAATAGATTTTTGATAACACAAAATATTAACAGCATTAAAATTGTTGTCGGCATGAGGTTGATATGCCGTTAAACAAAATGAACCATGAATTTTGATGCATTCATGTTAGATGCCTTCACTGCTTTGACTCCATTTTCCGATAATACTTTCTCTTCTGGAATGGTTTATTTTGAGTTTTATTTCTTGGAATACTTGAGAGGATTTTGGATATCTGTTCATGATCATTCTTATCCTCACTATTAATACCTATGTCATCGGCATAAACACCCTAGAGAGGGAAACAAGGGTCGTTGTTTTCTATTGTTAGATTCGTTTGGGATGTCATACGAAACGCTTAAATGAAGAGTGCAAATCTCGTTATATAGAATTATTTAGGTGTTATAACAATTTTACCGTTTACAGTTCGTGGGAATCATTTGGCAAACACTGTTACCAGTCAACATTCTCATATTCAAGAGTTGACGTTTGAAACGAGGAAACCTGACTAGTAGAAAATGTTTTTTTTTTAAAAAATGATGTCGAACAGAATTGTCTTCGACTAAGCCCATGAATGCAGAGAGAGATTTTTGGACGTGATGAAAAATCAACAAGATAAAATTTGTAAAGCATGAAGCAAAGAAAGAAAGAAAGAAAGCAAAGAAGTTGCAACCAACAGTAGCTAAAAGGGGAAAAAAGCGAAAGAAAGTAACAACGGTAATAATGACAGAGACAATGATCAT